TATGAGTCACACATATACATGTATATGTACATATACATATACATGTACATATGTGTATTAAATACATGTTATATTTTAGGTGTACATTAGCTCATTTATTTGTGTCATGTTTTTGGATTCCAGTGTAGTTTCCTATCCCACACTGTCATTCATTAGTATGTAAACCACCCACTCATAATGGCCCCTCTCTCCCACACACTTTACTCTCTTCTTCTAGTATAATACTAATATTACTCTCTCTTTCTTATTTTCTTTCTCTCTCCCCCCCCCTCTTTTCCTCTCCCTCTTTCTCCCTCTTTCTAATCTCTCAATAATGCTTTCACTAGCTCTTTATCTTTACCTTTTATAAGTACATATACAGTCAATCCTGTCTATTCTGGACACCTTGGGACCCAATAATACCCTAGCTCCTGATTATGAACCTGTCCTTATTTCAGAGGTTCATTAATACACATTACTATTGTATTGGGACTGATACTACCCCTCCTCATTATAGAGGCCTCCTTATTTTAGAGTGTCAACAATAAGAGGAGGCTATACTGTACTCTAACTACATGTACATACAACTACATAATGAATCATGTATATTCACATATTCCTTAATAGAAACAGATGAAGTGGTGCAATAATGTATGTACATGTACATGTACACATACATGTACATGTATGTACTTCTTACCTAAAGTGGAGTCCTTGTTTGTCAAACTCGTACTCAACTATTCCGGTTGATTTGACTCTTGTTCTTAGTATGTCTTGCTCTGATGGAATGTACCTCTTATCAGCTATTCTATCAATACTGTCTAGATAACTGAGAGAGAGAGAGAGGGAGGAAGGGAGAGAGAGAGAGAGAGGGGGGGGAGAGATAGAGAGAGAGGGTGAGAAAAGAATACAATTAATAGCATGTCTTTAAAGAATAGAGAAGTACATGTACATGTACAATATATAATATAAATAAGGAAATACATGTACTACAGGAGAAGAAAGAGAGAGAGAGAGGGAGAGAATACAATTAATAACAAATTTAAAGGAGAGAGAAATAGATGTACATGTACAATATAATATATGAAATAAGGAAATACAAGACAGAGAGAGAGAGAGAGGGTGAAAAGGTTAAGGAAATGAACCCACAGACACTCAGTCAGACAGTACAGTTAGACTATTATTATTATTATTAAATTAAAAATAGGAAACAGCCTCAACCACAGCCACCACACACAAACAATCAAACATTCCCTCAGTACAAAGTGCAGCTAGTCCATTTACATTCAGCAAACAAAAAACAATTTCCATAAAATAATACACACACACACACACACGACATGTATAGTAGCATGTTGTAAAGACATACAAATGCAATATCAAATGTAAATATTTAATAAATAATAAAACAATATTGCTACATGAACAATATTGTTATTGGCCTGTATAAACTACTGTTGTGCATGTATATACATGTACATGTATGATGATCACTTTAATCCTATAGAATTATTTACATGTACATGTACATACAATATTTCAGGAAGTACATATGTACATGTATACAGTATACTGTATAGCGGGAAATTTTGGAGGGGATTAAATTGTCGAATTTGGTGTCTTGATAGCTATTCGCTAAAATAAAAATCCACCATTTTGAGCCATTATACGTATGCTCAATGGCATGTGGCCACAAATTCTCCAGTCACCAAAATTTAGCAATTCGCCAAATTTTAGTCCCTCCAAAAATTTCCCGCTATACAGTATAATTTCAATCTCTCTTTTATTCTTAATTCCTTCACTTACTATTTTGCTGAGTCATTGAGCTGATATTCGCTTGATCTCTTAAAGCAGTACTGGACCCCTGGGTCTAGCCATAGTCTCTTCATGGCAGCCTGTAGCTGAGGAGTGAAGGGATCAGTGTCTTGATTCCTGGCTGTGATCTCAAATAACATCATGGCTTCAGCCTGGGGAGAGAGGGAGAGGGGGGAGGGAGAGAGAGAGAGGGAGGGAGGGAGGGAGGGAGGAAGAGAAAGGGAGGGAGGGAAAGAGGAAGAGAAAGGGAGGGAGGGAGGAAGAGAAAGGGAGGGAGGGAGAGAGGGAGAGGGGGGAGAGAGAAAGGATGTAAAAGTAGGACAAACACAGAAAATAAAAAAGAGAAGACATTTAAACAATAAAGTGCACGATTCCAAATATAAAGGAAAGCCAATGAATCCCAACAAGGCAATGAGATCATTCACCAAAAATACAAGTACACTTAATATACACATGTACATGTACATGTACATGTACATACATGTACATGTACGTGTTGTTGTCTAAAGGTTACCCATCAAATGTTAGACATGAGGACACACACAGACGCACGTCTTGTGCTCTAATTGTCTGGAAATGTTTCTAATGACTGAATGGTATACTACTTGTCACCTACTCACATGCAGCAATTACACACACACAATAAACACACATCAATGGATTTTCAAGTCCATTAATCACGTGTACATAATAACATACATGTATTAGTAAAAGGACATGTATAGCATGTACATACATAAACATGTTAGGATAATGAGATATAGGAGATTAAGGTTTGATTTGAAGGTATTTTAAAGGTATAGACTCTAATTTAATGTACAAAAGAAGCTACTATTAAAGAAAGCTCACTTGATCAAGTATTGTCCCTAAAGTCTCATTCTTGTTACTGATACTACAGCATTTTTTCAATTAATCACTAAACCCTTTAATTGTTTGAGCTATTTCTTAACTTTATAAAGCTTCAGTTCTAAAAGAAACCTTTAAAGGTTGTACCCTTTACTACAATGCCCTAGGCAATTCACATCAAATGTACACGTACATGTACATGTACATGTACATGTACAATAGTAGTATATTGGACTATTTGTGGTTGCATTTTGATGAATGAAAACAAGCAGACGATAAAAGGAAAAGGAAACACAATGTACTATAAGTGAATGTGTCTGTAGATAAAAGGGCAAACATGCAACACTCAAAAAATTCAATTCTTGTGATTTATTTATTTTAAAAGAAAACATCACTATGACGAGACAGGCAAGGCAGCAACAACACAACACCATACATGTACAGTACATTAGTAAATAATAAAACAAAAAAGAATTTAATACATTTTTATGCTCACTATGGCAATAATGCTAAAAATATAAAAATAGACTAAGTGAGCTAAACTACAGCATAAATGATATTAGATGTCCAAAGTTCAGACTTTTAAAGATGATATTTCATTCCAATATAAGTACATGTATATACATTACATGGTACTATGATATGATATTAACATACATGTACATGTATGATGCTCTCTATTCAAAGTGATATCCATCAAGTACATGTACTTTTTTATGATCACATTTAGAAATAATTACGTACATGTACATGTATGGCTTACTCTTCTTGCATGGAAATACTTGTGAGTGATTAAATGCCTTATACTAATACATTCTCTATAATATGCCATATAATAGTTTTTAATGTGACTCGGAATGAA